GAGGGGACTGACTGAAATGTAGGTACGACGCCAACGAACGTCCCCCCCTATTCATATAAGCCACATGCTCAGGAGTTTTACTGGGTATGGTTCCCGGTTAGGCCTTCTTTCGAATCCCATACCGAGTCCCACACTCCCTCTTCGGAGGGGTCGTGCGTAATCTGCATTTCTCCTGAGATATCAGAAAAAAAAAAAAAAAAAAAAATGGTGCGGAGTGGCAGGGCCCCGGACGCGCGACTTCGCGAACTCCGTTCGTTGCCATGCGTGCGCGGAGGCCGGCCGTCCGGCTAACCACCGTTTAGGCGGTCCTTCGTGCTCGGCGCCTTTGGTCAGGGGCAAAGCTATCCGATGGGGTGCTCGAATTGAGGGGGGTGCGACGCGGGGAGCTTCTTCGTGCGAGCCGAGTACGAACGGCTCTGCCCAGAGTTCGAAGTAAACATGGGGAAGTTTCTCCAAGTCAATTTTAATCACCGCAGGGGTGCGCAGGACCTACTGTTCAATCAGGTGGACGCGTGGGGGGTCGACGTCGTCATGATTTCGGAACCCTACGCCGTTCCGAAAAGGGGGGAAAGCCGCGACGATTCTTGGTTTGGATTCGAGGACGGCGCGGCCGCGTTACTCTTCTCAAACTCGGTCCGGACGCCGAGGCATCGAGAGCTGTCCGGGGGGGAGGGTTTCGTTCTGGTCGGATGGGGAAACGCGGTTCTGGTGTCCGCTTACGCGTCGCCGAATCGTCCCGTCACCCAGTTCGAGAATTTCTTGCACGCGCTCGAGAGGCAGATTGATCGCTTCGCGGGGTTCCGTCCCAGTCTCGTCTGCGGCGACTTCAACGCGAAATACGTTTCTTGGTCGGGATATGCGAACGACGCGCGCGGCCGACTCCTCAAGGAACTCCTTGAGGAGTTCGGCTCGCGCCATTTCGCCGTGCGTGACAAAAGGGGGGCGAAAACTTGCGTGCGGGCCACCCGCGAGTCCGCGATCGATCTTACGGTTTCTTCCGTCGCAGCCGCGGCGTGGGTTTCTGATTTCGAGAAACCCACACCTGAGCAATCACACTTATATAGCGTTCTCGTTAGGGGCTCTTAGAAGTTCGGGGGGGAGGGGCTGCCTCTCGGTCCAGCGGCCCTCGCGTCGTCATTCCGCCCCGGTGGAGCCTGCGGTCGATCGACGAAGAGCGACTTATCGACTGCCTCGCCGCGGAGTCGTGGCGAAGAGCCAATTTTGATTCGAGAACAAAGAACGCCGGTGAGATGGCGCGGAGGATCCGGGACGATTTGCGTCGCATCTCGGATTCGTGCATGAGGAGGGTCGGTTCGCGATCGAACGAGCGCAAGTGGCCGAAACACTGGTGGACGGACGAGATAGGAGAGCTGCGGAAGGAGTCCTGTCTCGCTCGTAGTCGGTTCGGGGACAGGAAACGGAAACTCCTTCGCCGTGGAGGAGATTACGAAGAAATCGTGACCGACGCAGTTTTGCTGGGGTTTAAGGCGGAGTGGCGGGCGTCGCGGGTGCGGGTTTGTTGAGCGATATGGAGTTCGAAGGAAGAGAGTCAGAAGGAGCTTCTGAGCGAAGTCAACTCGAATTCGTGGGGTTTTCCGTTCCGCACCGTGACGAAGAAGCTGCGGAGTTCGTCGAAATGATCGCGAAGCTCTTCCCTCGCGTCGCGCCCTACGCGTTCCCTCCGGCGAACTTCGCTTTCGACCGCGAACGCGACCGAGTCACCGAGGGGGAGACCCGCATCTTCCTCGACGCGGCCTCCAAGAAGCGCTCGGCTCCGGGCCCGAACGGCGCGCATTATCGGATCCTCGGCAGGTATGCCGGAGTGATGTGTTTGCGACTTTCGTCGCTTTACACCGCGTGTTTCGAAGAGGCGTCGTTTCCGAAGCAGTGGAGGCGAGCGAACCTCGTGCTGCTCGAAAAACCGGGTAGGGACCCGTCGACGCCCGGCGCGTATCGGCCGATTTGCCTTCTCGACGTGGAGGGTAAGTTGTTCGAGTGCGTCGTGGCGTCACGGATAATCGGTCACATGGGGGCGGACGGAGAGAGAAACGACCTTTCTCCGAATCAGTACGGCTTCCGGGCGGGCCGATCCACGATCGACGCGCTCGTTCGAGTCCGAAACGAAATCAGGGAAACTCTGCGCCGGGGCGGGGTCCTTTCGGAGAGGAAGATTTCGTACGAGAAGCCGGACGGAACGACGGAAACAGCGGACGTTTTCTGCGGCGTGCCCCAAGGGTCGGTCCTCGGACCGCTCTTATGGAACATCGCCTACGACTGCGTCCGTACCCGGGCCGTCCTTCCCGAAGGTTGTTCTCTGATTTGCTACGCGGACGACACCCTGCTCCTCGCGACCGGTCGCGGGTGGGCGGAGGTTCGCGATCGCGCCGAAAGAGGACTTCACGCGACGGTGGAGGTCATCCGCGGCATCGGACTGCGGGTGTCTCTGCCGAAAACGGAAGCTTGCGGACTCCATCGTTCGAGGAATCGGCTTCCTAACGGACTGTAACAACTGCTAACTGGCACTGTCGTCTGGGGGTTTCAGGTCCGGGGGGGGAGGATGCTCAAGTATGTGGGGGTCACTTTCGACTCGGGTCTCACTTTCAGGCAACACCTCACGCTCCTCGGATCGAAGATCCGAGCCGCGAGCGCATCGTTAAGGCGCCTGATGCCGAACCTGCGTGGTCCGCAGGCGAAGGTCAGGCGATTTTACGAGATGGTCGTCCACTCCGTGGCCCTGTACAGAGCCACATTCGGTTTGGGCCGAATCGGTAGCGGCATCGCGGCCGCTTCGCGAGAAGGCCATCCAATTCCAAAGAGCGTCTCTGAAAAAGGTGGCGACGGCGTACAGGGACGTCGCGGTGGAGGTGGTTTGCCTTCTGTCGGGCACTGCCCCGCTCAATCTCCTCGCGTTGGAGAGACTCGTCCTTTATCGCGAGCGGGGTCGCGTCCCGATTCCGCAGGGAACTTCGCGATTGCACGGTCCGAGCGAGGCAGGCACGTTTCGACGACGGGCGGAAACGGTACGACGGCGAAATCGTCGTCGCCCTGGGCCCCCGAGTGGGGAACAACTGGGTGAGGCGGGGTCACGGAAACTTGATTTATCGTCTCGCTCAGGTCCTCACGGTTCGGCTCGTACTTGACGCGCATCGCAGGGAGGAGACGGCGGAGTGTTGGTTTTGCGGTACGCCCGAGGACGACGTCGATGTCCCCCGTGGGAGGAACACAGGCAGCGGCTTGTCGGAGTTATCGGACCCGATCTGTCGATCCGCGGTCTTGTGAACGCGTTGCTTCGCGGACCCGGGAATGGTCCGCGATTTCGTGATTTTCGGAAGCGGTCCTGCGGGCGAAAGGGGACCGCAAACGCGAGCGCGAAAGTCCGAAGATCGTCGCCGTATGAGTAGGGTTAGAATTAGGTTTAAAAAAGAAATCCCGCTGATGAGGAAGGAGAGAAAGTAGAGGAAGGAGCGGTTCCGGATCTTTGTCATCGGCCAAGAGAGAGGAAACGTCGTCGTCGGAAGGAGGAGGAGGAGGAGGACGAAGACCAGAACCCAGATGACGGCGGCGTCTTCGATTAGCGAGGTGCGGCGACGAACGAAAGCTTCGTTTAATTTTCAAATTTCCAGGAGGTCGGCGGTCCCCACTCCCTCCCAGCAAAGAACCGGAGGACACTCCCGAAAGGGACTGCCGAACGTCCTGGGAGATGCGTTCTCATCTTCGAGGTGAAGACTGAACGAAGATTGGGGCGGGTCTCCCCATAAGCGAATCGTGTGGAACGGTAACGTTCTGGCTTACCGGAGAGGGGAGACTGAATTGTAGGTCTTACTCCCACGAGAGACTCCCCCCTCTTCACATAAGCCACGCTATTGCGACATGCCCAGGAGTTTTAGTGGGTAGGGGTCTCTGGCTAGGCTTTCTTTCGATCCAAACCGAGCCCCACACTCCCTTCGTAAAAGGAGGGGTAGTGCGTAACCGCATTTCTCCTGGGACAAAAAAAAAAAAAGGTACGTGTAAAACGTACGTTGATAAATTGATTTAACGTGTCATTAGAATAAAAAAAAAGGAAGTTTATAATAATAATAAGAGTGTATTTGTACGTAATAAACGTACGCATCGAATGCATAAATAAATAAATAAAAATTTTTATTTGTTGTGAGTGTGGGCGTGTGCGCGTGCGGATAAATTTCAAGGTCAACATTGTATTGTACCTTTAACTGATAAGAAATTTTTATCGGTCATCTAAATAAGAAAATATTTTTAAATATATTAATATAAATGCTAGATGCGATGACTCAATTCGTAAGCGAAAAAAAATTTTTTTTTCTTCTGCCACGACGTTTCAGTCATTCTTTTGACACGACGTAAAAATTAATTTTCGTCGACTATCTCTCCCACGCACATCCCCACACATGTCAAAATTCATTATTTCGAACGAAATGTGAAAAATTTTTTTTTTAAATTTTCTTTCTCCCTAATTTTCGGAGATTGGAAAATCGATGGATTCGATAAATAATCAATAAAATAATCAATAAAATTTTTATAATAAATTTATTATTATTATTATTATTTATTATATATTTTAAATTTTAAAAAAATACAAAAAATTACCATTAATTTACTCTTTGTGGATTTTAATGTCAAAACAAAAATTACTAATAATAAAAATAATAATAACAAAAAGTGTTTTTTTTCTTTTTTTTTTTCATCATGTGATCGTAACTCATCCTGAAATAGAATCGTCCAGAAAAATTAATAATAATAATGATAATAATTTACAGTATATTTGCTTAGTTGACCAGCAATTATTAAAAAAATTAATGATAATGATAATAATTTTTTTCTTTGGTTTTCATACACAATCATTACATTGAGCTTAAACATTTATATATAAACATAAATTGAAATTTATACACTTGAATGAGAGAAAAAAAAATGGCGGAAGGGGGAAGGAGGAGGAGGAGGGGGTATCGAGTACCTGTACAAATGTAAAAAAAAAAATTTTTTCATCTGACCGTCGTGTGACATTCATTAAAAGCCATAGATCCGTAATTTTTCATTTTTTTCCTTTTTCCTTCTTCCTTTGATTGATAAAATTTAAAAATTTTAAATGTTTCATCCGTTCCTGCCGTACCTGAAAGAGATCAATGACGTTATGACAATATGACGTTTTTTTCTTGTGGAGTCGAAGGGGAAAAATTTTTTGTATAATATATTTCTCACCCAGTTTTTCACCGTCTGGACTCCAGAGCAATGATGTTATGTAACCGTTCCCTTGGGATGAAACGTCGACCACGTGATTAGCACCTCCGGATACTAACAATTCGCAATGAGTTTCTTCTTGTGTGTCTGTTTTAAAATTTAATTTAAAATAGAAGAATATAAAACGGGAAGAATTTGTTTTTTATACCACGTAACGTTTATATACTACCGTGTACCCATTGTGCACAAACTAATTCTCCAGATATTTTACTAAATTCCAGGGATTTTATGGCGACTTGTCTCGATGATTTTGCCATGTATTCTAGTTTTGTAGTATTTACGTTCCATATGCTAAGAGGTCCTGTAGTGGGTAAACCTTCACCGACAGCTAAAAGTCCTGTTCTCCACGGATGCCAAGCAATGGCCTAAAAATTACCAACACTCATCAACCCGTAATTATATTATATATTTTTAAGAATTATTATTATTATTACTTACTCGAACTGGATGAGACATTTCGATTTCCATGTAAGGATCGCAACTGTCACCTTTCCATATTCTAACGTAGCCATCTTCTCCGCTCGAACATAAATAATTTGCCGTTGGTGAATATTTCAAATTGCATATGCATCCATCGTGTGCGTATTCGACTTCCGTTGTTATGTTATCCCGAAAATCCCTTCGAGAAATTTTCCCTCTCGAACAAGCCCTGAAATCTTTTTACACGTTAATTTACTTTTTTTCCAATTTCAAAAACCCCCCAAAAAACAAACAAAACAAAACATAAACGTATAAAACAACACAAACCAAGCCAAACTGTGATGCATCGGATGCCAGTGTAGTGACGTCACAATGCATTTATTAACGCAACATTTCTCTTCCAAAATGAGAGTTTTTTTTGTCAGATTCCATATTTGTACCAAACCGCTTTCGGTACCTGCAGCAAGAGTGACACCGTTACCCGACCATGCGACAGCCGTACCAGAATCACCTTCGTATTCCGTAACCGTTTCCGTCGAAGTTTGCTTTTCCGAAAAATTACATCCTGCAACGATTTTATTTTTAACCAGAGTCACGATGACGTCGTTACCGCCCCAATCGATCGTTTGACATAAATCTGAAACCGGAAAAACCAAAAAAAAAAAAAACGGAAGTGACGTCACTCACTCGCATCAAATTCCACTTGAAATTTTTTTTTCATACTAACGAAATCCAATTTTAAATTCTGGCAAATCCAAAACTCTTTCGTTTGTCAAACAAGGTTTTCTCCTGGGTACGCACGGCCATATTTGTTCTTCGTATTTATTATTACTATTATAATTATTATTAATATTATTAACGGTTTCATTGACCAACAATGAATAATTTTCATATATCGATGTTTTAAATAATCTTTCGTTGAAATTTGCTATATTTTCTAAACTTTTTCTAAACTTCAATCGTTTCTAAAAAAAAACAACAACAAATTCATATGATGCGACATACAACCGACAACCGCTATCAATAATAATAATAATATTTTTTTTAACAAACGACAACCGACGTTATACGTAAGAAGATCAGGTGAATCCGTTTTATCATCGACGTTTATATTTTTATACATTAAATTATAATAAGCTCCATCGAAATCGATTAATCTTCTCGATAAAACGTATCTGTCCAATCCGAATATTTTTTTATTACCCTGTAATAAATTATTTATTAATAATAATAATAATAATTAATTAATAAAACCGTTTAATTATCAATTAATTAAAAAAAAAATTCGATTTAAACGAATCAGATTCGCAACAATTCAATAAATTTGAACCCTTCAATAAAATTTTCTTTCATCGATTACTTCCTAATTACTTAACAAACAAGCAAACAAACATACAAACAAACTCACCTGTACCATATTAAATAATTTTTTTTTTTTATTTATTCGACGATGAGCATAACTACAACAACCGTAATTAAGTTTTTTTTTTAATGCAATAAAATTTTAATTAAACAAAAAAAAATTATTATTATTATTATTATTACGTACGCCGATCGAATGAAACGAATATTCTTGATTAAACAATATCAATGCAAGATAAAACAAACAAATTTTGTTGCGGTTGTTGTTGTCGTTGTCATTTAATAATTTTGTTTTAGTTTTAATTTTTCGGTTGTTGAACGAGAAAAGGAAATCATTAATAATAATAATAATAAAAATGACGTTTTTTTTTTTTTACGTAAAACTTACTTAATATCTTATATTTTATCTTAAAAAGTTAATTAATAAATAGCATTTATTAAAATAATAATAATAATAATAACTATACAAATATCACAGGTACAATTCTAGTCATTAAAATTAATCTCTATCTCGTGTGTTTGTGTGTGTGTTTATTTTATTTATTTATTTATTAATTACCTTCGTTATAATTTTTTCCTTTTTTTATGTATTATTATTATCACTGAAAACAGGTAGGTAGGTAGGTAAAAATTAAAACAAAGGTAATTAATAATGATAAGGAGAGACGCAAAATGTCGTCGACCTTTACTTAAAAATACCCCAAAATAAGCAGTAAAATAACTAAAAACCATTTTTTGATAACACATCACCGTCAGTTCATTTATTGACAATCGATTATATTAATGATAATAATAATAATAATAATAATAATAATAATTTACATAAAATAAAATCGATTATCGATAAACGAAAATTTTTACACGTATAAATAAAATAAATAAATGAGTGCGTGTAAGCGTGTGTGGGTGGGTGTGTGCGTATGAGTGTAGGTTTGGGCGCGCGCGTTCGTATACTTAAATATATACACAAGATTATGATTTAAAATGGCGGTCGGTGGATATAAAAAAAAGGAGAAAAAAAAAAAAATTATCATCATCGTCGTGACGATCATGTAAAAGTCTTGAAGGTTCACGTGAAAGGTACAAAAAGGTTACCACTATCGCGTTAAAACCATTCCGAAAGGAAGGGAGAGAGGTATGAAATGTGACCTATTGACCTTTTCACGTATAAGTCCAATTGTGAAAAGATTTATTTCTCGTATTTCTAAAATTCAACGGGGAATCTCTAACGACCAATATTTGTTCGGATCCGTCCATTTTATTTGCTTTTCTCATGTGATTCCTCATAACCGTCCAAAGTGCGGCAAGGACTCCGCATAAAAAAATAGCTCCCAATATGGCAAATGAAAAAGCCATTTTCGATGCTGATAAACAAAATGAATTTTCATTTATATTCATTTTCCCATCGAATTCATCATCTGTAATTTTATTTATAATAATATTAATAATAATATCAACAACGAGAAATTTTAATTAAATAAATGATTTACCTGGACTCAATAAAATTCCATCCGCGTCTATTCCAGGTGCTAAAACTTCGACGCTATTAAAAACTTCGATTTTATCGATTATCGTTGATGTAGTCGAAGAATTTTTTCTCATCGATTTAAATGATTTTCCAGTTCGATCGTGTGTCGGGAATGAATCGCAGGAAACCTTTTAAATAATTATCATTATCATCATCATCATTATTATTATATCGAAAATAATTTTACACGACCATCGCGTATATAAAAATTTTACACCGAGTCACGACGTTTATAAAATCATAATTTACTTAACGTCAGTTGGAAAAAGTGACTGACGTTGTCACGTGACGAACGAAAGAAAGAAAGAAAAAAGTTTTAGAAAATTATTATTATTATTATTATTAGCAAAATCATTATCGATAATTTATTAATTTATTTTTTAAACTCAAAATGGCGGATTGTCCGCGTTGGTGCACGATGATGATTTCATATGAAAATAATTAGAATTTAAAATGTAATAATTTCAACGTGTCAGAAGAATCAAAAAAAAAAAAAAAATTTAAGAAAGAAAACGAACGTTTATTATTATTATTATTATTATAAAAATTTTTTTTTGTACTCACCGCCGGACAAAATTCATGACAAATTTGTAAAGTGCATCTCATATGTAAATTTGAAGTGTCAGGAAATTTAAATGCCGAAAAAATTGTTCCCATGACTCGAACGCGAGGAGATTTATTATTATTATTATTATTATTATTATTATCATTATCATTAATGTCGTCTGCATACTCGTTTCTTCTTTTAACATTTTTTAACATTTTTAATTTATTATTTATAAATTTTTTATTATTATTTATATTTTTTTCGTCGCCCTCGTCCTTCTCGTCCTCGTCGAGTGTTATTTTTGACGATTCATCATCATCATTATCATTATCATTATTATTATCGTCATATTTAATCAATTCTAAAGATGGCATTATTGTTTCATCTAACGGACAACCATTTTCATCAATGAGTTTTTGCGTGACGTCCCTTGTTCCATCATATGCGTAACAATCAATGACGTTCGAATCTGCGTTCTCTGTAAAATTAGTTATTATTATTATTATTTAAATAAACAGTCGACGTTACCGTCACGTTTTTGATGACGATGATGATAATAATAATGTTAATTAATTTTACGGTAACGTGCAAGTCACGGTAATAATAATAAAAACAAAAAAAAACATTTTTCATATATGAATAAATCAATATTTAAATAAATTTGTTGAAATGTAATCGTCACGATGATGATGACGACGGCCGACGTTTATGATGATGATGATGATGATGATGATGATGATAATGATGATGATAGGTAAAGTAATTAAGAAATCGTTCAAGAATTAAAAATTATTTTTGTCCGTTTAACCTGACAGGAAATATTAATTTAACGAACAAGAACGAGAGGAACAGACATTTTTTTTTTTAATTGCTTCTTTTTTTTTTGTTGTTGTTCGTAATAATTATGTTTTAGGACGTTTATCTGTTATTTTACTTCTGTACCATCGTCGTGGAATTAGAAAATAAAAATAAAAATGAAAAAGAGTCGAATATGTTGATGATGATGATGATGATTTAGTTATGTGGGCCGTCGTCAGGTCGAAATCATAAATGAAAATTTATTCACGTTGTTGTCGGTCTCATGTCAAAGGTCAATAAAAACATAAAATTTATTAATTCAAACAATTCGTCGATTGTTCCCTCGAATTTTTTTTTTTTTTTGTTTGTTTGTTTGCACAAAAAATTTTTTTTTTTTTATTTACGATATACGTTCTTTCCACTTGATGTTTAAATTCATTCGAAAATAACGAATGTTTGTTGTAAAAAAAAAAAATGCAAACTTTCATTCATTCATTCATTCATTCTGGAAAGGGTAATATTTTAATGAAAAACGATCACACGCCCCTGTCGCAAAATAAAAATAAAAAAAATTTCTATTGACACGTTTTAAACTTTTTTTTTATTTTTTATTAAGGTGAATCGTTAAGTGGAGGTAGATAAATAAAAAAAAAATTTATAAAATCGTGAAATATAAAAGTTGAAGGGTCATTAAACAAACAACAAACAAACAAACAAACGAATCGACATTTTGTGTCGAGTCAAACGTAATAAAAAAAAAAAAGTAAATATTTGTTTAAATTACCCGGTAAAAATGATTTGACCACCATCATTGTTTGTTCCCCGACGGAAACTTTATTTGAATTACCATAACCGGAAGTTCCTTCGATTTCCATCCACGTTTTTACACCGTTTAAAATATTATTTTCCTTTTGATTATCCGTATCCGAACCTTTTTTCCTACCCTTCCTATAGAAAAATACAAAAAAAAAAAAATTAAATATTTTCAAAAAAAAAAAACTGCGTACAAAAATTGCATACCTGACTTGTCTCGTTCCACCGGCGTTGCTACTGCTACTGCTGCTGCCACGTTTATTATAACTAACATCGTTTAAAGAAAGATTACAAATCGTGCTAACTTCCAAATCTGTTATTTGTTGTAATAATTTATCCATTTGCACGTTGAGACTCACTCTCAATGTGAGAGTTTCATCCTTTAAAAAAAAAATTAATATCGTGTAACCATACAATTTCTAATGACACTTTTTTTTTTCAAATGAAAGGAGAGCACAAAAATTTTTTTTTTTAAATTGTTAACAATCTCTTACGAGGGATAAAAAAACAACAAAAATTTTCTTCCTTCTTTCCTTTTTTTTTTTTTTTAAATCGCTCACGTGTCGGTAGAAAAAAGAAATTCTTCGTACACGGTATTTTTATTTATCATTATCATCATCATCGTTGCGGAATGAGATTTATCATTATTAAGAGTTCAAAGCAATTTAAAAAAATTATTTTTAATGGCGACCAAAAAAAATATATATATATATATATATATATATGTGTGTACGTACGAATTTTTTTATTTTAAAAACATTCAATGAAAAATGTTGAGGTATATTTAATTGGCAATAACCGGTACACGTTCACAATAATAATAATAATAATAATGAATCTTTCTTTATTGTTCTAGAAATAATTATTGGCGTTATGGAATAAAAAAGAAAAAAAACTTTAATTAAGGGTCATCGAAATTTGATGTAGTTACAACGGACATTCGATTTATACCGTTACAACTTCGTGTTCTTTTTTTTTTGGAAAATTTTTCTAGAATGTTCGTATGAGAGAGAAAGAGAAAGAGAGAGAGAGAGAGAGAGAGAAAGGGAGAGAGAGAGAGAGAGAGAAAGGGAGAGAGAGAGACAGGGAGAGAGAGAGAGAGAATGGGGAAAGTAATAAAGAAAAACTTACGTTAATGGAAACCAAACGAACGCCACATTCCGTCGTATCAATTGTTATATCCACTTGCGTATCACCCGTTCCGACAGCACGACAGGTTTTCTCCAGCGGAAATCCTTTTGCATAAACGACTCCTTTAAAATTTTTATTCAATTCCAGTCTTATGTTCATCTCGTGAAGACTACACGACGAGTTGACATTTTTAATTTCGTATATTTTCGGCTTCACCAGAGTTCCATTTACCAACGATAAAAATAAATTTATTATTATTATTATTATCGTTAATAAATAAAATTTTATTGATTTATTATTAAAAATCATCTGGAACAAAAATAAATAAATAAATAAATTATTACGTACGTAAAATATTTTCATTCATAATAATCATTCATCATATTATTCGGTAAAATATTCGAAACGTCAATTATTAGGTCAAAGGTCAATTAAAATTCTTTTCGATTCCAAAAATTTTTTTTTTTTTGTTTAAATAAAGTTTACATTTTTTCATGTAAAAGAAAAAAAACCGTTAACTTTTTACCTTTCTTTCTTTCTTTCTTTCTTTCTTTTATTACCGTTTTGATTACGAGTAAAAATAATTACCACGATATTTTTTTACAGACGTTCGTTCGTGATACCGTTTTCATTATATAAAAAAAAAAAAAACGTGGCATGAGAATTTATATTAAAAAAAAAAAAAAAAATTACAAATGAAACAATAAAAAAAAAATGAATAACCGGACTTGGTATAAAAAAAAAAAAAAATTCATGTGGTCCCATTTATATAAAAACCAATTTTAACCACATTTTATTAAATTGATTATTTCACCGCCGTTATTTAAATTATTATTATTATTATTATTATTACTAACATAACAACCACCGTAACGTTAAATTACATTCGATTCATTTATTTAAAAAAAAAAAATTTTTTTTTTATAACAAAAGTGATAAAAATGTTGCGGATTTATATTAAAATAATTTCTATTGTTTGGTAATATTATTATCATTATTATCATTTTTTACCGCCATTGTTGTTGAAATTCTCGTCGGTGAACATTTTTAAAAAATCGTTAAGTAACGTTATTAATTAATAATAATTAATTATAAGTCGTAATAATTGAAGGTCTTTTTCCACTTATTTCTCCAGTAAAAATTATCGAGTTCAAGTTTAAATGATGATATCTCGCCGCCGCCGCCATTTTTATTTTATCAGTGTAAGTAAGGTTGAACCTGTGGTAAATATTTTACTAATAGATTTTAAGTTAATTAAATTAATTATATATATATATATATATATATATATATATATATATATATATATATATATATATATATATATATATATATATATATTATCTGATAACTTATCAGATAATTTTTTGCATTACGTAATGCATTCTATTAATTCCAGCCGAGTTGTTATATTTGTTAATAATAATGATAATTTATAAAAAAAACTTTTTTTTTGTCAGGGCCTGAACTCGACTGGAATACGAATGGATGAAGTATAAAATTATGGAGAAATATTTTATTAAATTCAGGTACGATCGACCGTAGAAAATTTTTTATTTTTATTTATTTATTAATAAATTTTAATACGGTCGTGACTTTATTTAAAAAAATTCAGTTTGGAATTTTTTACGAAAAAAACATAAGGTAATTATTATTATTATTATTATTACCGTAAACATTTATTTATTATTATTATGTTGTATGATTTTTTTTTTTTTTTCGTTAGTCACGGTAAAATTAACTTTTTTTTTTTAAAAACAACGTGGCGTAAGAATTTATTTCGTTTTTTTTTTTTTAATAATTTGTTACTTTCGTGTAAACTTTTAATTATTCCGTAAGAGAAATATTAATTACTTGTTACATCAATAATTTTTTTTTATAACAAACAATTTTTCGTTTGTTTATACTTTTTCTTTTGGAGAAAAACAAACGTGGCACAAACGAGTAAAAAATGTAAAATTTCGAAACTTTTTTCTTTCATTTTGCAGCGATGATGTGAATTTTTTTTTTTTATTAACGTGAAAATATATAAAATTCACGGTGAGATTTTATTATTATTATTATTATTATTATTATTATCATCATCATCACGATAAACGCATGTCGTTTTATTTGTTTTAATATGAAACAAACAAACAAGCAAACAATAATTACGAAACGAGTGAAATTTTATTTATTTTTTCCTCTCATTTAAATTTTTATTATTAATTAATATTAATACATAACGTTTTGCAAAAAAAACAAACAAACAAACAAACGAACAAACAAAACAAAGGGGAACCAAATAATAATAATAAAAAACATTGAAATTTTTTTTTTTTTTTTTAACACGGTTGTGGCAATGATGAAATTCGTCCGGTTGTTAAACAAAGAAATAACAAACAACAACACAATGAAAAGTGGAAGAAAGAAAGAAAGAAAGAAGGGAAAGAGAGAGAGAGAAAAAAAATTTAAATTTCCGATTGGGCAACGGTCCTCTTGGTTGTTTAAGATGATAAAACAAGATTTTTAAGTAATTTAGATAATCTCGTTAAAAAAGTTTTAATTAAATTTTTTTTTTTTTTAAAAACCTTTTTCTCGTACCTTGAAAAAAGGTACACGCACGCGCGTGCAAAAAAAAAACGAGGTCAACAAATTTAAGAACGAATACACCGTTTTTTTTTTCTACCGTTTACCACCATTTGCTCATTGGGGTTAAAACTCAATCAAATTTTTCTTTTTCTCCCATTCATTCATTCATTCATTCGCCTCGGGCAATACAATTTACGTAAAAAAAATATCATTATTATCACATTTTTATAACCCTTTTCTTCTCTTTCTTTCTTTCTTTAGAAAACAAATATTAATCACGATGATGATGATGATAATAATAAAATGATTGACCTAAAAAACGAAACGTAGAAATAAGAGAAAAAAAAAAACTGTTTTTTTTTTGTTAACTTATATTATAAAAAACGAATCATTGAACTTGTTAAGCTAAGAATAAAAATGTTTTTTATGTTATGTAGATTAAACATGATTTTTTTTTTATGTTACGGTATGCGAACTCAACAATGCCGTTACCTGAGATAATCATTTCGTTTCAGACTTCCTATACCGTACCTACCCCCGCCCCACCCCACGCCACCCGGCACACACCTGTACCTTTCTCGAATATTAAATATATTCACTCGTTTGATATTTAATAATAATAATAATGATAATAATCAAAACACTTTCTTTTTATTGAGTTACGATTAATTGATTTCTCCCTATTTTTTTATATTTTATTTAAGAATGTTTATTATTATTATTATTATTATTATTATTATTATTATTATTATTATTATTATTATTATTATATCC